CTGAAGTCTTGGGTACCCATTTGGGATACCATCTTTCCCATCTGTCTAGTCCTTCTTCTCAATCCCGAATATTTCCAGGTGCCTCCTGCTTATGCGAACCATCGCATTTCACTCAGCGTTCAACTAATAAGGTCAACCAATCAGAAGATATCAGATTTTTTAAACCAAAACCCCCTTTTCCCTTTGCCGCACTCAATGTCCACACACTCTACTAGATCGGTCAACAAGCCGCCTTAGCTAGAACCCTTGAAACCTTTCATTTAGATGTATGCTGTGTCTCCGGAACACGCAAACAAGATCCTACTTCAGTCATCTCCCTCCGTTCTCCAGCTCCAGCCTCATCCTCACGCTTCACCATTCGGGTGTCAGGCGATTCGGCATCCAAAGTACGCGGGGCTGCTGGCGTTGGGATTGCGCTAAGTGTCAAGAACGAGCGTTCACTTCTCGATTGGATCCCGGTTAACAGCGGACTTTGCACCGTACGTCTGGATGGTTCAGTACGCGTTAACAGCTACAGAACAAAGCGTCGGTGCTTATTCGTCGTATCCGCGTATGCGCCGACAGATTGCAGCTCACCACAAATGAAGGATGAATTCTACAAGGACCTCTCTCAACTGCTTCAAAGTGATCGGTCAACCAACATTGTGGTAGTCGCTGGAGACTTCAATGCTCAAGTGGGATCCCTGGACGAATCAGAGAGGGTTACTTGGCGGTTCGCATGCAATACCAACCAACAGGACTGACAACGGAGAACGACTACTCCAACTTTGTGCTGACCACAGACTGTTTCCGTTAAACACGAGCTTCTTGCACAAAAACGGCACCGCCTTGCATGAAGACCGCCAACTTCTTCATAGCGCTGGACTCAAATCGACCACATCGCCATCAGCCACCGTTGGAGAGGATCCAATGAAGACCGCCGCTCCTACCGGTCAACACCTGTAAACACGGACCATGCTCTGCTATGAGCGAGATTCTCCCTACGCCTGATAAACAACCGCAGAAAAGCCGCCGAAAACGAATGCCCACAATACACTATCACCGACGAACTCTGGCGCACGATCAAAGCAAAAACGATGGATCTCCTCAAACTCGGTTACCCTGATGGACGCTTGCAAAGCCATTCCATCGGATTCAAGATACGACAAAGCGCGCAAATTCGCCAGCTCATCAAGAGTCTGAGGAATGACCGCGAGAAGTGGTGGGTAGGAAAGTGTACAGATCAGCTCATCAAGAGTCTGGGAAATGACCGCGAGAAGCGGTAGGTAGGAAAGTATAGAGAGAAGGAGAAGGCTGCCACTACTGGTAAAAGTCGCAATCTTTTCCGATCAATTAGGAGTACAGGTCCAAGGAAAGCAGGCGTTAATGAGGTAATTAAGGAGTCCGAGGGCAAACTGATTCAAATTGAGGAACGTCGTTTGAACGTTGTGCAGAACAGTTTAAGGCACGGTTTAGCTGGTCTCATTCGAAACAAGATTTTCCCTCATTTGATTCAACTATGCAAATACTGCCAGTTGACATCAGTCCTCCATCTGGAATGGAGGTTAACCGGGAAATAAGTCACCTCAAACGGCATAAGGTTTCCGGCCCTAATGGGCTCTCCCCATCCGTTTT